TCCCTCTCTCGCTGTGTCTCTCTCTGACAAATAAATAAATAAAATCTTTTTAAAAAAAAGAGAAAGAAAGGACCTCAGGGACATCTCAGATATGGTTATGTCCCTATTAAAATTCCCTAGTTGCTTCCATTTTTTTTTTTAGGATGAAGCCCAGAATTCCCAGCATAGCAGAAAAGGCCCTTCATAATTCCTGCCTCTGGGACCAGGCCCCACAAGGACATAATGAACTATGAGCTCCCTGCTTTGACAGTACTGCTTCATGTCTCCACACATTTGCTGACAGTTTTCCATGCTCTCTAGCCACGAAGCATTATCATTGCTAGAGACCCTTCCCTACCCAACTATTCTTTATGGAACTGCTTACTCCTTCCCTTGGGTCTCTATTATTTTTTACTGACTTAATGCCATAGCCCACAGTACACTTCACTACAGTTAATGATGGTTTAAAAATCTATCTCCCCCTACTGAACTGTGAAGACTTTGAGGTCAGCTCTTTGTATCCTAAGAATTGGGGTTCTTTCCTTTTCTTATGCATATACTGTGTTCTCCCTTTCTCTCAAAATAAGTTTATTCTTTAAAAACAGCACACATTTATTTTAAATGTCTCAAATGACATGAAAAGGCAGTTGAAAAATCACTCTAAATCCTACAGCCTAACAATGACCGATGTCTCTATCTGCCTACGTGCATGTTTAGAGAGACGTAAGCACCCACATGCACACATGCGCACACACACTTGCACACGCATACAATGTTATACAAATAAATTCATTCATTGATCTGACCAGTTTTTCCTTTCAACGATGTCAAGGACACTTTCCCTGTTAATGATATACCTGTACATAATTTTATATGGCTGCTTAAATTTTAGTTCATTAAAGGCAATGATGGTAGACCTGACTTCTTGTTTCTTTTATTCCGTGAGTATGAATTAAAAAGTGGCATTATTGTCCTTACTTTCTTTGGTCAGCTATAGAGTCTTGAGCTGGTTTTGTAACTGTCTTCAAGGCATTCCCTTATGCCTTCTTCCCTTTATCTTTGGGCTGTGTCCTGTTAAAATTTCTGTATATCAGAGAGTCTCCTATCAAGCAATGTGATGTTTTTAGTCAAACCTTGTCTGTCTTAAGAGAATCATCTATAGTTATATAGTAAGGGTTTGACTTTTGATGGTTTTTCCTAATTTAGAAACTAATACAGTGGAATCATGCATATATTTTATATGAATATTTTTAATCTCATCACCCTAACATAAGGATGCATCTCAATTGTACCTGACCTTCCCCTATTCTGTGGTCATGAAATTCAAGATGATATATAACTGTTTTCAATGGGTATTTTTATTTTACCAACCACTTTCACTCTTTGGCAGATACAGATTGCTAGTAGAGGTCATTAGGATACTTCCTCACTCTCTGGAGCTGAGATCAAGAACTACTCAGATTTATTATTTTAATAAAATGAAACATCTGGTACAGTTTTGGAAAGTACAAAGTCACACTATGATTACAACTTATTTGTATTGTGTGTGTGCGTGTGTGTGTGTGTGTGTGTGTGTGTGTTTGTGAGAGAGAGATCTGATTCAGGAATCTCAGTTTTGCTTCACTGTTACTGGAGAGCTTACATACAGTCCATGTTATTTTTATGGATTTTCTCCTGTTTTCAAACTCAATTAAAACTCTTAGGAATTCTTCATCCTTCGGGTTGTAGATTCAACATTAGAGCACATTTTCATACCGTACAGCATTAATCCAACAACTCTCTTAGAAAGACTTTTTGTTTCCATCTCTATATTCTGATCTTGACCCCATCTCACCAAGTGTCAGGGACATTTATGTCATGATGTGCATTGCCTTAGGTTTTAATATAAAATGTGTGCCATTTATTACCTATGCTTTAATTATTAGTAGGTAGAGATCTGAGCATCAGTCATTTCCGGCTCCCTATCTAATTATCTCATATAATTAACTATCACCTCTCATGTTTTCCCTCTTTCCATGCTGTACCTGTCCTCCTTAGTAGCAGTTGTTCTCAACCAGGATAGATTTTGCCCTCGAGGAACATCTGGCAGTGTCTGGAGACATTTTTGATTGACAGGAAGAGTACTACTGGTTTCTAAATGGTAGAGGTCACTGATGCCACTTAACTTTCTGCAATGCAGAATATAGGTCCATTCCCCGCAACAAAATGTAATCCAAGCCAAAATGTCCGTAGTGCTAAGGTGAAGGTATCTTGCTGTAGAAACTGACTTCCTGTGTTTCATTTGAACCTTCAGATTTCTTCCACCCCTGAGGTGTTCACTTTAAAGTATCCTCTTGATTCAGACTAGCTACTTAGTAGCAGAAAGTGGTTATATTTAGATGTAAAATTATATCTCATGTCTCATCTGTGTCATGCTTTGGTTGAAGGGAGGCTGCCGTCATCATCAAAAATGTTTCCCTTGTTAGTAAAATAATAGTATATGAAAACTGACATTACGCAATAGTACAGAATACGTAAAGGAGGAGGCTGAGGCATATTTCTAAGTAAAGAATAAAGCTGGAGAGATTAATATCTATGATTATCCTCAGATTAATAAATATGATTATCTTCAGATACTCTCTGCTCCAAATGTTATTTGTTGTTATGGAAATTCTACTTGTACATAAATTGAGCAAATCTCCATGGGCAGCTTAATACTAACATGATCCCCCTTTCTTTCTCCTTTTTTTCCCCAGACATTTCACATTTTCAAGAACAAAATGATTTAAAAGGATTACTAGAAAATCTCCATCAAAATATCCAAGCCAAAAAAAGAAAGAATGTAGAAATCATGTGGTTGGCTGCAACGGTAAGCACTCTCCAGCCAGATCTTTGTCCTTGTCACCATGATGGCCAGCAAACATCATAGAGTATTTGCCGTGTAGGGTCCAATCTCTGCACTTTGGGTTACCAGATGTCATTCTCCATTATCCAGGGGATTAGGCATTTTCAATGCTGTCGGTAATTCTATCAATACACTAGAACACAAGATGGAAGAAGATGCACTCAACAAGAAAGAATTTTACCTATTGGCTTTTCTTGTATATCCTGGATGTTGTTTGACACTTTGAGGCTAAAATGAAGTGTCTGTGGTTTTCTTGATAGTCCATGTTTGTGATGTCAATCGCCCATATCAATCAGGATTTTGAAGTGCTACTCTAGAGACATATGGTTGCAACAGAATGTGGTTATCAGATCTTTGACTCATGGCCTCAGTAAGGCCCCTGGACATCTTGTTCAATTAATGAGCTTTTAAATGCGTTTGTTAATTTAGATATTAGCATAGAATTTATTACTGATGGATTGCTCTTGGGGTAATGAGCTATATTTTCTATGGTTCTTTCTCATTCAATAACACCCTCAGAGCAGAAGTTCTGCCTTATTTCCTGCCCCAGGTTTCTACCAGAGTGAGGGAGAGAATAATGCCTGTATTTCTGAAACTCTTGTCTGGCAACCATTCAGGCAGAGCTCACATGAACTTATGAATTTTGTTCAGCGCTCAGACCCAAAGATCCTTTCCTAATGCAAGAATCTTTTCATCAGAAAAGGCCCACACTGGAGATCTTTATGATGAATGCCATATTTGTAGTTCCTCTACAGTGTTGCCTTTGTAATTTGGAGTTCGGTAACCGATCTCCTAAAATAACTCTATTCATTCTGTATCAAGAGCATTTAAAACAAAGCCTTGTCCCTATTGCCAGTGTTCAATTATAATCCAATATTACTTACTCTCTTCTGGGAAAAAGGAATGGATAATTTACCACGAGTCTATATAAAATAATTTACCAAGAGCAAGGCGGAGGAAAGCTGCTTTAGCTTCCCTTCATGCCCTCTTGGAGCCCCAGGGAAGAACATCAAAGGTAACAATATGAAACATTGCTTTCAGGCAGCTCATTTGCACTGGTCCCATTTAGCACCATACTACATTACAGGAGGGTTGTTTTTAATAGTTTTTCCACCAGTGGTGGCTGCTTTTTATGTCTTCAAAGACTGCTGTGGTTGTTAATTCTCACAAAAATTTCACAAAGGTAGGTCATGAGCTATTTTTGCTATTTTTACTAATAATGGGATAACAGGAAGGTAATTTGATCATTTACCAAGGCTTTCTGACAACTTAGGAACATATACATATGTCACTATATACATACCATGAATTTGTGTGTCGATTGATAAATGAAAGATGTACATGTGCAAACACAAATGTATATTTTCTCTTAGTTTATGTAGTTTTACCATTTGAATGTATAAAAAAGTTTTCCCATAAATCTCATTCATTCCTGAAAATTCTTTTTTGAAACTTAAACACTGACCAAATATGGCTTTCTCGCAGCTCAACTGTTGAATGGATGATTGACTGCCTTGATAAATACATGGCACCCATAATGTGCAAATTTAGCATTATGTAGGAACACTGACATTATTATTACAGCATTTCTGTAGCTGATACCTCAGTTTCAATATCCTTTTTGTAAATCAAGGACTTGGATAATACTTTTAAAATCAAGAAATATAGAAATTCCTTTTGACATTTTCCAAAAAGCTTTTATTTGTCTCTATTTCATTCTCCTCTCTTTTAAAAATCTATTAATTATATATTACTGTGTTAATATTTTACATTCTCATTGAAAAAATATAACACTATTTGGTTTTGTCTTGTTCAAATTTTAAAAAATAAAAAATGAGAATTTAAAGAGACCACATGCCAATCAAGTGTATTAAATTAAGTTCATATGGTTCAGAGGAGCTGTAGAAATAAGGAAACCAAGACCCAACCTGCTCACTCTGAATTGCCTCTGCCTTCTCTTTATGTTAAATGTAGAACATTAAATATCCTTAGTAGGAGAGTTGTATATACTAGAGACAACACATTTTAAAGAATATTCATTCTTTTTAAAAATCATTATCTAGGGGCACCTGGGTGGCTCAGTCGGTTGAGCGTCTGCCTTCAGCTCAGGTTATGATCCCAGGGTCCTGGGATCCAGTCCTGCATCAGACTCCCTGCTCAGAAGGGAGCCTGCTTCTCCCTCTCCCTCTGCCACTCCCTCTGCTTGTGCTCTCTCGCTCTCTCTGTCAAATAAATAAATAAAATCTTTTTAAAAAAAAATCATTATCTTGGGGCGCCTGGGTGGTTCAGTCGTTAAGCGTCTGCCTTCGGCTCAGGTCATGATCCCAGGGTCCTGGGATCGAGTCCCACATTGGGCTCCCTGCTCGGCGGGAAGCCTGCTTCTCCCTCTCCCACTCCCCCTGCTTGTGTTCCTGCTCTCGCTATCTCTC